AACATAAAATCAGTCATACAGAAGAGTCATATACTACAGTTAGACAATTACATGTTCTCCCCCACAGGTTCAGTGCAAGAGCCAAATGGGACAGGCAAGAAAAAAGGAAAAAAAAAAGAATGATTTTGTTTTGAGTCATTGAAACAGTTGGAACAGTTTCCAAAAAACTTGCCAGTCTCCAATGAATCCTTGCACTAATTAGACTCATTAGGCTCAATCCAGCGTAGGCCAGACAGTTTCATAAACCTGATCTTGTTTTTGACAGGCTGCAGCAAAGTGTCATCGTGTGTGCCTGTGTCAGCCAGTCGAGTGTATGGTAAGAAGCATAGTGTGTTACCACGTGCTTGCGTGCACTGCTCAGTGCTGTCAGAGAGTCCACAGTGAAAGGTGTGATCTTAAGTGTGATTTTTGTGCTCAGAGTGAAATAATCACACTTTTCCCAGTGGTCACACTTGTCAATCAGATGTCTTAAACTTACATTTTAGGGGTCACTTCACTGATGTCAATGCTATAAATACATTTTTAGATGTTTTTAATCATATAGATGGACAAATTATAAGGCAAAAGGTGCATAAAAAAGGAAGTCAGAGGCCCCCTGTGGACAGAGCCAGGCTTCTCTTAGTACTTTTAAAAGCTTGTACGGTATCCATGGTGTAAAAGTGCAACTTCAATGTTTGGTTCAAATCGTAAAATAAGAGGGTTTCTGACTTTGTCAATAACCACACATGGTCTACACTAATACACATTCAAAACTGGCACCACAGAGAACCTGAGTGTGTGGCTCACAGCACATTGGCGGATGGAAGCTGCCCAGCGTGCAATAATGGTGCACCCAGTGGTACCTTAGGAATCCCCCAGCATGTCAAGCAGTACCCAGCTCAGCCACACAGCAGTCTGTTTTACCTGATGCCCTGTAGTAGGAGATATGGGACTGAGGAACTTTTTTTCCCCTATAAGACAGAAAACTGTTTAGTAAATAACACACACACACACACACACACACACACACACACACAAACGCACAAATCAATACATGTTAAATTTAAGTGTAATCCCAGTGTAGTGGATTTTGTATGTATTCCACTGTTTTCTGTTCCCTTGTAATACGTTTTATTATTTCTTAATTTATTTACTTAATGTGCATATGTATTGTTTTTTTTTTAATGCATTTCAATGGATCCTTCCGCCTTAAGTTTTTTACAGGATTGTACTTGTATAACACTATACAACAAAATATTCTAGTTTTCTTGTTTGTGGGCAGTATTTTACAGTAACCAGAGTATTTATTTTTCTAGTTGTCGATCAGTCTTCTCTAAACCTACTAGCTGACTCATCCCCTGAGCTGCTGTAACACTGGTCTTACAGATTAAGTGTTTTGAAAGTTGTTAGTGGGTTTCTAAGTGGAAAAGCTGGGATGCGCCTTCAAAATTCCTGTTATGTGTTGACATTTAACGAGTGGGCACAGACTTGTGCATGCTATTAGGCAGTCTAATAACTAAGTGTACGATGGGATGAACATGTGCTGTTAACTCCAAATGTTCAAAGACAACACAGTCGTGAGCAGTCCTGCCCATTTGAGCGTGTGAAGCTTAGCCAGAATCACTCTGAGCAATCAATGCTAATAACTTACTAGTATGCCTGCGTGCAAACAGATTGTTAACTAGTGAGATGAGAGTGGAGATGGCAGGAGACATGATGGGATCTGCGCCCTCATTACTAACAGAAGCTTATTAAATTTAGGCCTCATCAGTTATGTTTTGTTCCTAGCTCGAAGGAGAAAGTACAACCACAGGTTCTGCATCTGAGCCTACCTTTCTGTGTGGAATTTGTAAGTTTCCTTGTGTTTATGTGGATTCCCTGGCTACTTCAGCTTCCTTCCTCAGTTCAAAAACATGCATGTTAGGATTCTGCATTTATTTTTAAAGTGTGTGCCTGTACATCTTTCTGTTGATTTACTCGAGGTATACCTCACCTCACGCCCTGTGATAGGTAGCTCTTAAAAATGTCAAACATCCAATGAGCGGCAATTCTTCACATGGATAAGTGATGTTGATGAGAGGTTAGAGGAGAATGTGTGCACATGCTCTGAAAAACTGAACTGCTAAAGAGTGGAAAAAGCTTGGATTAAAAAATCTGTCTTTGGCCTGAGGCGTGCAGATGGTGAGCTCAGAGAAGAACATCATGGACCCAACCTGCCATGAGTCAACAGTCCAGGCAGCTGCTGCTGGTGTAATGATATGAGGAGTGTTTTCATGGTAGTTAGTGTTTGAAAGTTAGCGTAGGTGCTTTTATTGCCACAGTTTACCATCTTGTAATAGTCCATTAAAAAAAAGCCATCTCCAACTGGTTTCATGAACATGACAGAGAGGCCATTTGGCTTAATTTGCCTTTTCAGTAGACTGTAGTCAAGACCGCCTAGACCAAGACAGACCGAGTCAAGACCAAGACAAAGTCGAGACGAGACCGAGACAAAAAAGTCTTTAAACTGCAGCCAGATGCTGCTTCGTTTATGGGTTTCAGGCATATTTATGTTTTTGCAATGCACTCGCACAGCCCTCCTCACCGCTGTCTACTGTCTCCCTCACTTACTAAGTAGACAGACACACGCTCCACTTGACTGTCGCGTCTCTCACCCTCTGTTTTTCACATAATGATATTATCCTATATCCTCGCATGTGATTGGCCACAATATGGAGGGATTGGAGCATAGCTGAGCCACTGTGTGAGAGCTGAGCAGCAAAAGGAAATTAAGTGAGGAGCTCTCGCTCAATGGGAGTCGACTCTTCTGATTCACTACAAAGCGCTCTCTAAGCACGGCTCTTAGAGCTGGTGCTTTTGCGCATGACACATTATCGAACGTTACGTTGTGTGTCGATCCAAGACAGCAAGACTGAGACAACGAGACCAAAACAAGACCGAGGAATCCGAGACCAAGACAAGACCAAGACCAAAGTCCGTTGAGACCAAGACAAGACCAAGACCACGTAAAAATGGTCTCGAGACCACATCCAACTCTTTTCAGTCATTTGATCTGAATCCATAAGACACTTTTTGAGTGTGGTAGAACTGCATATTACTGGTACGAGAGTGCAGATGATGAATGAACAGAAATGATGGGATGTAATATGACAACAGGAAACAGAAACTCATGAATCCATGCCTATGAGAACTGAGGCTGTTTAAGAGTACAACAAGTAACAGCATACTGTGCCTAATAAACTTTATATGATCCTAAATTACACTCCTTAGTTATGCAAGCACCAATTGGTTAATGTTCACTCACAGCCACTTCATTAGGCACATTACATAATTAGGTGCAATCACATGAGAGCAATTCACTACTCATAGGCATGTAGACATTTTCAAGATGATCTGTTGAAGTTCAAGCATCAGAATTGAGAAGAAATGTGACTTAAGTGACTTTGAATGCAGTATAGTTGTTGTTTCCAAACAGAAAATATGCAGTGAGCAGCAGGTCTCTCAGAAAAATAAATCCTCTTTTATGCCAGAGCTCAGATGAGATCTAGACTGCTTTGAGCTGACAGGAAGGAAACAGTACTAACTCCTATAAGTACTGGTAACAACCAAGGCATGCAGAAAATCATCTTAGCACAGTGAATGGAACAGGCTTGAGAGACTTGAGATAAGACTACACTGGGTGCCACTCTAGTCAGTAAGAACTGGAAACAGGGGCTATAACGCACACAGTCTCACAAAAATCGGACAATACATAGAAGACTGGAAAAACACAGACTTGTCTGGCGAGACTCATCAGAATTTGGCATAAACATGAAAAGAAAAGAGGAATCCATTTTCCTTATGTCAACAGATCAGGGTGTGTAGGTTGTGTAATGGTTTGGGGGAAAACTTTGTTCCCATTAGTAGCAGCTGAGCATCTTTTTAAATCTTTATAAGTTTAAAAAGAATCTTAAATTGGTTTCTTGGACATGAAAATGAATTTACTGTATGCAAATAGCCTCCGCAGTCATCAGATCTCAATCCAATAGAGCACCTTTGGGATGGGATACAACAGGACTACAACAGGACATAGGCCTCATGTAATAACAAGAAGAAGAAGAAGAAGAAGAAGACATGGGATATTTTTGCAAGACACTTGGATAATTATTATTAGCTTAAATCATTCATTTGTTTTGACTAAGTAACTCAACTTGGTGCATAATTTAACACAAAGGTTTCTGTAAGTACCTTATATGTTCTGAATGTAACAAACTACATGTTACTATGCAACTCAATTCTAGATCTTTCACATGCTGTGACTGTGTGGAAGTCAAAGATGTTTTCTAACAACCAAACAAAGTGTCTGTCATAAAAATATTTTTCTAATTACTAATCTGTTGTTTTCAAAACATGCCATTTCCAAAGCTCCCAAACGTTTACACTTTTAAAAAGGCTCCAAAACTCCCGAACATTGTTTGGTTGTTATGGCTGGCTGCTCTAAATCTTGACTCATCTCTCAAAGATGGCCTAAACAGTAGAAACACTACTTTAATATATATACTGTTGTCTAAAATAGGTTATCTTACTGCTTCTTCCTATTTTCTTTTTAATCAAAAAAAAGTTACAATAATCATACTAACAGGGATGGCTTTTGTTTCAGATGAGTTGCCTCTGACAAAAGCAAAAAAAACGTTTAATGTGATTTGAGCAGATGGCGACATTTGTTTTGGGGGATACACACTAATGTGTGTTACAGTATGAAGACATGCAGATGCTCTATCAGAGAAACAACGCACAAGATGTTCAGAGTAAACCAAAGCTGAGTCTGGAGGACTCTAAGAACAATCAGCTGTCCTGGTTTCACAGCTGGAGAAAACTTACTCTGAACTAACCAGGTATAATCCTGGATCAAACTTTAATCAGTGACCATTAGGTACACCACATGTCTAGTCTGCTTCTTGAATCAGATCACCTGTATAATGAACAAGAAAAAGTAGAACTACGTTCAACATACAGCAGAGAAAATACTTGGATTGAGACAGATCAGGATGGTGACCTTAAACTTCTTTGGAATGAGGTGTAAGATGTGAAGATACTGTGAAATGAGAGGGAGGTGTAGCTATGAATGACAGAGAAACAGGAAACTATCTTGAAAAGGATACAGACAAAAAACATGTCACACTTGATATAAAAAGAAGAAATCCTGGACACAGCTGAATGTAAAACAAACAAACAAACAAACAAACAAACAAACAAACAAAACCCCTTTAAGTAAATTTCCGTTCTTTACCTATAAATCCACATAATTATCATTGAATAGTTCATTTAAAGTTAGTCCTGAGTTCACTGAACTTTAGAGTTAAAGGCAGTGAACTTGTAGATTCTTGTGACTTATCTTACACTGTGAAACCTAAATATTGGCGAGTACTCTAATAACCTCACAGTGTACCTTAATACACTTACTGACTTCAGTGAGTAACCAATAGAACCTTGTTCTAATGACCGGAGCTTGACTAATAATTCTGATGTGAATCTAGTGGGAAGTGTAACAGCTTTTTAGATTTTAAGCACTGTTACCTCACAGTGAGTGAAGCTGGGGCATTTATGTGTGGAGTTTGCATGTTCTCCCCATGTTTGCTTGGGTTCTCTCATAGGTGTGAATGTGAGTGTGAATGAATGCCTATCTCTCTGTGTTAGCCCTGTGTCAGATTGGCAACCCGTCCAGAATAAGGATAATTAGGAAGAGAAAGGCTAGATTGATGGGTTAAACAATAAATATGCAATGCCAGGGGTTCACTCCCTGCTTTCTGTTTATGACTACCAAATAACAACAATGTAATGTACATCATTCAGCACACAGGGGTCTGCACTGCCCCCCTATGGCCTTTAGATTCAACAGCAGCTCTTATACTGAGTAGATGGGTCCCCCTTTGAACTGATTTGGTTGATTTCACGTGTTTCCAGTGAAAAGTGGAGTTTACATGTGGTGGACATTTGCTGCAAAAGAACTACAGATGTGTTAACAGAAGTCAATCAAACACACCCATGCAGAGCTGAATTCACATCCAAACTGCCAAACTCTTTTTTGCTGACATTGACAAATAAAAATGCTAATCTATCTGGTGTTTTTTCAGTCTAATGACTCTAATGATGTTGACAACATCAACTCAGAATGTTTTTGTTTTTATAAGTAACACAGAGCCACAGAAACTACTCAACACACAAAACAGGAAATACTTGCTGGAAACATAAATACTTCATTTAAAAAGAAAACAACATTCACACTCTACAAGAGGAGTGTGTCTTGGCAAAGAAACACTGATGCAATAAGGCATGGTTTATTTGGTCTTCTTGCCTTTGCCCTTTCCTTTGTCCCTTTTGGCCTTTTTGCTTTTGGCCTTGTTCTTTAAGGCCTTGCGAACGCTGTAGCCTCTCCACCAGGCCTGGATCAGAATGGCAGCTTTGGTCTTCAACTCCAGCTCTCTGATCTCCTCCTGTCTCTTCTCTTCAGCCAGCCGCCTCCTCTCCTGGATCTGATTGTACTCCATCTCCAGGGTAGCAAAGGGTTTCTCAAACTTCTTCCGCTCATTGTCCTCCATTTCATAAGCATTTTCATTCAACTCCAGTTTGGCCTAAGAAAGGTGATTGTGGCATTGGGGGTGTGTTGCGTCAAAAGTGGAGAAGAGGGAGATGGCAGTGGATATGGTTGTGGAGTGAAGAAAAAACAGAAAAGTGGTGAAAATATAAGAAATGCTTTCACTGACACTGAGCATCCTTAATTTACTAAGGACATAAAAAGGTAACAATGACCTAAAAGAAAACCCAGGACAACACCTATATTTCCAGATGTTATACAAGAGTAAATACAACAGTTCTGGATTTTAAAGCATAGAAACTTGGATGTTATTTTATATGCTGTGATAGAGCAGATCATCTGCTAGTACAAGGTTGGTGCTTCAATCCCTGGCTGTTTCAGCCTGTATGCCACAGTATCCTTGGGCACGATTATGAACCTAAGTTGTTTTGAGTGCTCAAGTAGAAACGTTATATATAAGAACCAGCTGATTTACCAATTACAATGAGCTCATAGAATAAATATAAGTTTTATGTGTAAAATTGAAAATTAAATGTGTAAACACTTTCCCCATTGGATGCTTACTAGGGGTAACCATTGTTTTTCTTTTCTGAACTGAGTGGTTTCAGGCCTGCTTCCTGAACAAACTGACTGGGATTGTTCTTTATACAGGAACCTATTCTAATGGTCATCAAACTACATCTTTATTGATATAACCTTAGGTGTCAAAACTTGTCATTAAGTGTACAGGGCTGTCACGTATTAATATTGAGCTGGTACTGTACTGTAAATACAGTAAATGTCACAACTTTGCATGGCAGGATTAGCCAGGATACTGTGGCATACAGTTTACCCAGTTTATTGTGAGGTGTCACATACTGTGCAACTGTGATAACCTTAACATAATATTTTAGGGACATATTCTGAATATAGTAATGAGTAATAAGTTTGTAGAAAGACCCCATGTTAATATTTTACAGACTATTTCTGGTACTTTGCAGTGGAAAGTTTGTACCTGGATTTCTCCTATTTCATTGTCAAACTTTTGGATTAAGGAGTCAATTTTCCCTTGCATCTTTTCATTTTTCTGCCAAAAAACAAGAACAGTGAACATGAGTTTAATGAAAACCAAATACACTACCACAAGTAAAACATGAAACCTTATTGTTACACTAAACGTACCTCTTGGAGTAATCTCTCAGCCTGTCTGTTCTCAAGCACAACATTTTTGAGCTGAATTTTCAGTTGATCAATTTCCTGCTGTAAACGGTCCTGCTTCAGCTTTGACACCTGAATGTGTGCCTGCACCTGTTTGTCTTCAAAAGGCGACATGTTATCATCTGACACATCACCTTCTTGAGGGCTGCACGCCTGCAGCAAACTTTCCAAGTGTTTGATTGTGTTCTCTTTCTGGGAAATCTGTGATATCAAAAGCAATGGATAGGAGGTGAGAAGATGGAAAAAATGAAGATTCTGCTTCTCTAGCTGCTAATGAAAAAGCCTTGACACCTTACCTCAGCATCTACTTGCTGTATAGCTTTAGCTACTTCTTCTTCCTCCAGTGAAATATTTTTCTCCAGATCTTTTGCAGAGGATGAAAACTCTTTCTGCTTTGTGATGAGCTGTAGCTCCTCGTCTGGGCTGATCAGAAACTTTTCTACCATGTGGCTATGAAGCACCTTTAATCCTTTAATTAATTTGTACTCCTTTTCCTCTATTTTTATATCTAGTTCCGCCCTCAAGCCAATAATGCCATCTGAATGGGCTCGGCAATAACGGAGAATATCCCTGACAGAGTTCTTGAGATCATTCCCAAGCTGAGCTCTCTCCTTCTCTCCTCCGATCCTGGCATCTCTTATTTGTTCTTCAACGGACTCCTGTTTGAGACTTTTTAGTTTCTCCAGTCTTTCCACTAAAATCCGATGTTTTTCAAGTGCCTTGCTCAGGTCCTTGTCAACAATCTCAGACTTACTGTTAAGGTGGAGGAGAGCGGGCAGAGCTGCTGCGGTCTCAATTTTACTGATGCAGTTTTCAAGTGTACTTAAAATAATATGAGCCTCACTAGCGAGGTGCTTGCTCTGTACCAAGCAACCATCTTCTGACTGGCTGTTTGGCAGCAATGCAAACCAATCTTCAGACATGTCAACACTCAGTGGCTTCGACTGGGAAAAAAAAAAAGTCTGGTTTTGTCTACAGTGTCTTAGCTTTTGATAAAGGCAGTGTGTTCTATGAATGAATTTAGCACGAGTTCATATATTTCACTTTACTCTATATGTCACACTTACTTGTGTTAAATCAGAAAACTAATTTTAATATTAGACAAAGACAACCAGACTAAATAAAAAAATGCAATTGTTAAATGATGACTTAATTTATTAAGGGACAAAAAAGTATGTAATCATGTGATTAAAACATTTTTGGAAAGCTCAGTTTACTTTCACTAACTAGTCGGATTACTGTCAGACCTGCTGAATCAAGAAATCGCTTAAACAAAACTTGTCTGACAATGTATTTTACACATAAGAGAAGTTACTTTTCTATCTCAGTTTTAGTCTAAAGTCACGGGCTCTTTGTGAAGTACTGTATCGGTTTTATTTTATACCTGGTAAATTAATTTTCTTATTAGCGAGCCAGTTAAGTATCTATAGTACTGTGAGTAGTAAACGTTCTAAACTACACATCGTAAATTTAAAAAATGAAAAGGTTGTTCTCGGTTTTTGTTTGCTTGTGGCACATAAGCAGCTTTTACTTTAGTTGTGTAATATACAAAGTTAGCTAAGCTACATACCTGTAGACGTCTCTCAGTAAGTGTATGGGTTTTATTTGTTTTTTCTGTTGCTAGGATACCAAATAGCCATTTACCGCTTCAGCATTGGATCATATTACAGATTGCTTATGTTGACAAAATATACACACACATATATATGAATACTTTACCACATTTCAAACAAATTCATACAGGTATTAGCTTTAAATTAATATACTATGATGTGTTAAAATTGCCGACTTTTACTTTGGAAATATGCATGGTCACTTACTTAGCCTGCCGTTAACTGCTGCTAGTGTCGTAAAAGTTTGTTTATCCAGTTCTGCCCATAAGTTGTAGGTATCTCTAGAGTTTTTGCGGCGTCGTTCTTGTACATAATGTTGCTCTCAAAAAGATAAAGCTAGACGTCAATTAGCTGTGAGTGGTTATCCGTTCTATGTGTAATCAAATTAGTTGTGTAGCTGTGCGGAAATGGTGCTGCCGCGATGGACCCAGACGGACAGCTTGTTAGCCTGCGTGACAGCGAGCCAGTTAAATCGGAGATAGATATTTGTGACAAGGAAGACACCAAATCTGTAAGCTCCCCAACCCCATGTCTGTTTAGCATACTGTAAAAGGCGCTAGAGCCTGTTTTTGACTATTCTACTATCGATATTTGAACTTGCATATAACACAGGATAGAAACTGTTCGGTTTGTCTGCTAATATCTAACCCTGCCGTCCGTCCTCAACAAGATGTGCAGTTCTACTGCTGCTTGCGGAGAAAACCTTACACTTATTTAGCTGTTAGGTAGCTTTTATTAAGTCTGACAAAAAGGTGGAATTCCAAGCAGGTTGCAGTCTGTTTATCTGCTAGCTAGCATGGAGACTGACGACGATGTGCCTCTCATCTTAACCTGGGACGAAGCAAATAGTGGTCTGCTCAGCGAGGAGCCTGAAAGAGGAGACGAAAGTAAGTCTATACAGTGATATCATCACATAACTCTGTAGTCAAGCAATGCAAACAATGTACATGTACACCAAGGAAAGGAACATGATCGGGGGAAGTGGTTTGGTGTCTCTACTGTAATGCTGTCGCAGTAGACATACAAGTAATACACAGATCCCATTGAGAAAGCACACCCGGCCAAAACTAATGCACTCCTGTGTAACACCTGTGTAATAATCCCCACCTTTAAGAAGGCTGTGGTGTTGGGGGTTCGTTCACCCCCAACATTTTAAATACACTATTAGGGTCAAAATTACAACACACCCAAGTTTCTAAGATTCAATAAGTTAAATCACTACTTCTGTACAGGTTCAGTCTGCTTCTTCTTCTTTTGGCTGCTCACTTCATAGGTCACCACAGCAGATTATCTCCCTCTATCTCACCCTATTCCTACATCCTCCTTTGTCCCGGCAACCCTCTCTTTTTGTCTACACCCTTGAATCTTCTCTGTGCTCTTCCTCCTTTTCACCTGCCTGGCAGCTCCATGTTCAGGATCCTTTGTTAAATACATCCACTATCTCTCCACTGTACCTTGCCCCTTGAAGTTTGTCTCCTAAGCCCACCGCCTGATCTGTCCCTCTGATATACTCATCTCTAATCCTGTCCATTCTGGTGACTCCTAATCAAAACTCTGCCACCTCCAGCTCTGGCTTCTGTTTTTTTGTCACAGCCACTATTTCCAAACTGTACATTGCAGCAGGTCTCACTATCATTTTGTAAACTGTTACGGATTCAAATATTGGGGACGGAGAATGAGGAAAAACCAAAATAACAACACTGGTCCTGCCACGTTTAGTCAAACAATGATTTTAATGATCACATGCGTGGGAGATGGACACCGTACGCAGACAGCATCAGATCTCAAAATGGTTGAGCATTGATCAAACTCTTATAGCCTCTAGTGGCCCCCACCTAATCATAAAAGCCTGAACATTCACATGCTTTCTCTCACTCAGCGCCTAAGCTACGACCTTGGCTCCCTGTTTATCTGCTCCTGCCGAGATGGGGCAGAAAACTCCAGTATGTTCTGTTCTCTTCTAATCAGACAAATAAGGCGATGACTTTCTGCGAACAGTATTTCTTATAACTCAGCAGTATGTCCTTCTGTCACAAACCACCCCTGGCACTTGTCTCCAACCACTCCACCTTGCCTGCACTCTCTTCTTCATCTCTCTTGTGCCGCTGTTTATCGCTTTGGATGGTTGACACCAGGTATTTAAACAAATACAGTTCAATCAATACTTTTCTAAAGGTAGTCCAGATAAAATGTCAGCTGAGTATTGAACTCTGATGGTTGTTTTTACTGCACACTACAGTATTCAGAGAGGAGCATTTGCATAAACTGTTTATTTTATTATAGCTGTATATAGATGGAGTTAATGTTGTTTTTTTTAACTTACCATAATGCACTGGTGCAGTCAGAAGCGCTGTAATGTTGACAGTCAGCTGCATATATGTTGCACATCCAGGCTCTGCTGTTTGAATGGAGAAAACAGATTGTCCACCAGGCTCTGGGATCACGTGTGGGTGGAGCATGTATGAGTATCTGTGCATCTGCTTGACATAGTAATCCTGCTGCCTTTGTTTTCCTCACATATAAGCTACAAAATGACCCATCTGAAAAACTGCTGGCTCAGCTTAGAACTGTGTGCCCCTCAGCCCCTCCCCGGTGCATATGGGTAGCGTGTGTTTGTGTGTGTGTGTGTGCGTGTGTGTGAGTGAGTATCATTTTCTCTAGCTCTGGCATGAACAGGAAGAGGAGAGGAGTGTTTTTTCTGTCATATATGGGAGTGGTGTACAAGTGGGACAAGTCCTGCTGTTCTTGCCTGCTTGCTGCCAAAGCCTTCTGGAAATAGAGGGAGTATGAACCTGGACTCTATGAAATAAAGCTGCCTCTTATCACTTGAGTGACAAATCACATGCTTGGATAGAAGTGAGGAATTTAGTTTTTATTGCCCATGTTCCGGACCCTTTATTTTTCTGGGACAAGTAGACATGACTGCTGGATCTGTTTATGTGAGCCTGACGTCACTGTGTTATTGACTGGGAGCTTCAAACGTATTATTGTTCTCAAACAAATGAGTGGTCGGAGTGGCACACAGCAGACGATGGGTGTACTTCTGTCAGAGTAACGGGTAGGCTGCCACTGGATTGGAACTTAAGCTTCTCGTTTCAGCTCAGTCTGCTGCTGTCGTGGTGGATAGAAAACATCTGTGACCTGCAGCACGTTGGATTCTAAGGAGTCGTGCCCGAAGAGAAAATATGTGATGTACAGTGTGTGGGAAGAGTACCCCAACAGACTTGCGCCAGAGTAAAGTATGCAGCTGCAGAAAGCCGCATGGAGGGACAGCTTTGTTTGAGGAAGAACCTGGGACCAGGCTTGAGTTTGAATACTGACTTTGTCTGGATTTTATCTTGGTCACTTGACTTAATTTATACGATATTATGTTTATGTGTTTTAAGCCCTAACATAGGAGTTTCGTGTCTTCCAAAGTTAATCACTCGCTGTCGTCTGGTATTGCAAAATCAGTTCCTTTTGTGGTTTTTCTGTCTCGTGCCTGCATCCTGTTTGTGGTATGACAGAGGCTTAATAGCAAATGTGATGTGATTGAAAGCACACTTTATTACTGACTGGCAGCACTGGGATCAAGGTTCACGTTGTGCCACAGAGTCAGGAGGAGGTAATTTTTCAGTCTGGCAAAAAATGTAATATCACTCTTCTGTGTGACTTTTGTTCCAAAACAAGCAACTGATTCTCAAAGAACTACAAGTGCAGAACCTCAAGAGCATCTGTGATCATTTTAAAAGGGGTCTGCTCTCCAGAGTCCTTTTGATCTCCGGGATATTTCCGGATCTGTAAGGATTTCATCCGGATCCACTTGTGACTTGGTTTCTGTTGTTTGCATCAGGTCTGTGTGGAATGTCTGGCCATCTGTATCTCCAGATGTGTATTGATGCTGGAACGAGACCAGCATACTGTGACTGGGACACACATGTACACTTGGTCCTTGGAAGTAAGGGATGTTAATACCGTCACACAGCTGATGAATCCAGACTGACAAATGGAGAGTTCGCACACACAGGCAGCTGGTTTCCGTGCAGATCAGTCGCATATCGAGAGCCCTGTAGTGACTTCATCCTTTGCCTTACAGCTAGAACTAGAATGCATTGGTAGGCGGATACCCCTTTGTGTGACTCACATAAATAAGGGGTGTATGAGAACACTCACAATTAAGTCTTGTCTTCCAGATGGAGGAGGCAGTTATGACGTAGTTAACAACGCTGTGATCTCAACGCCTGGCCCACAAAACTACAGATCCCAAAATGTGTCCTTGCGACAAAGCTGGGAGATGAACTACCAAGAGGCAGCCATCTACCTGCAGGTATTTACAACCAGAGCATTGCTGCATTTATTAGTGTATGCACTCATTCACATGATCACATTATAGTTTTATTATACCTTCTACACTGTATTACTTGTAGATGGTTAAACCTTGTCCTCTCCCTGTGAGCTATATTTACATCCTGAAAAGCTGCAGGATGTTATAAATCTATAAACATGCAAAACTGTGCAAAATAAAATACAAAGGCAGTGTTGATGTACATGAAAGGAACTTTTTGCCAAAAATGGGATTTTTGTCTTGTTGCTGATACAAAAACATAACCTCATAAGGTTTTGTAACTGTATTTTAAAAAGCCACAATTGGTGTAAAAATTATACCCGACTGATTTTATTGGTTGATTATTGGCAGATTTGTTGATTTATACACAGCGTTTATGCAAAAATCTGACTTTTATAATGGTATCGACACATTCAACAGAATGTAGATTATTGATTTGTAAAACCTTTGAACTGATACAATGGAGATGCCAAGTTGGCCAGTACTGGTCGGTTTGCTTTTAATTTTCTTTTTAGGGAAAGAAGCAATCTTTATTACAAATAAATTCCTGTTTTAAAGTCTCTCTCTTTCTCACTACATGTTTGAATATCCAACCAGTGCAAAATTAATGTCAAAGAACAAACTCATAAACACTGATAAATCAGACAAGAAAGCTGCTGTCAATCAATATTTATCTGTGTGTCTCTTATCAATGTCTGAATGTTTTACTTTCTAAAATTGGCAGTGGCTCCTAGATTTGGTTGGCCTGTTTTAAATCATTTGAAGAGCTGCAAAGTACAAATAACAGTAAGCACACTTGTGCGTTTGTATGCCTTTGAGAAGTTCTTTTTACAT